ATATTCCAAGGTGATTGTTTTAAGCCACTAAGTTTGAGAGTGGTTATACTGCAATAATAAGTAACTTACATGTAGGACATATTCATTTCACAAATATTCATTACTTCAAGGACTCACCCAAAAAGCTCTTCAGACTGCCCACCATGCTCACTCCAATGATAACCACTAAAGGTAACATTAAGGGCTGACTGGCCCCTGCCTATTTTATGCACACTGTATCAGGACTTAAGAAGTGGGCATTGGGTGTTCTTAATACTTTCCCATTCTGAGCAGGGCTATGGTTTTAGAGATAGCATCTGCCTGGGAGGTCCAACGAGCAGAGGAATTTAACTGCTCCAAGTCACACACAGGACACATCCATGGTAAAAATGGAAACCAGAGGTTTGGGTGAGTTTCCAGCTCTTGCAAAATCATGCATCTCCAGTGCAAATGCATCCGCTGGAAAATCCAACCTCTGCCCAGCCCTGCTGTGACTTGGGTGGTGGCATGAGGAAGGGAGGTACATCAGGCCCCAACAGGCCATCACCAGTTCCATCCGGAGTGCTCCGTATGAAGGAGGGCAGCATCTTGACCATGGCCTTATTGTGTGTCTGTTTCCTCAGCCCCAACTTCATCTCCACCCGCATCCTCCTATTCCCCTCCAGCGGCATCTCCTTGGTGAGGTGGAAGAGGGCCAGGGTCCCCTCTATCTGCCAGTGCTGCTCAGCCGAGCAGTAGGCCACTGCAGTCCCCATGGCAGCCCTCTTGCCACTGCCACTCTCTGAGAGAAGGAAACCCACTCATCGGAGTCCAGCACCAAGTGCCTCAGAGGCTCGTAGAAATGCCAAGAATAACTGGGGCGAGGGGGAGACATGCCAAAACAGCTGGAATGAGCATCTGTCGGGGACCTCTGGCTCTCCCCTTTCTTTCTCCACTCTTTAATTCCATTTCCTACACTTGCTCTTTTTCATTACACAAGTCATAAAGATCCACTGTAGAAAAGTTAGGAAATGCAGGCAGGTAAAAAGGAAAAATGAAATTGCCTATAACCCTATTTCCCTCAATGACCACAGATTCCTGCAAGGGCAGAGCTGAGGACAGAGGGGCCAAAATCAAAATTTTGATCAGAGTCTGTGCTTCTATTCATCTTTGAGTGTTTATGCATGTTTGTTATATACATGTTGTTTTGTGTGTCTCTTTGGGTGTTTGTTGTATGTGAGTTTGTTTGGGTGTAGGGTGCATAGTGTACTGCTTAATCATCCTCTGCATGTGTCATACTGTCTTTCCATGTGACAGAGTGGCTGCTTGTTCCCAGCAGTTTCTTCCATGACTCCTCTTTTGGCATCTCTGAGCAATGCCTAGTTGTGTGGGATGTAGAGGAGATGACCCTTCAGAGACAGGTCTGAAAGGAAGGGCCAGGTTACACACCACAGGCCAGGAACTGAGGAGAAGAAATGTAATTGTTTGAACCTATTTATAACCCTGGAGTAAGGAACAACACATGGAGAATATCCTTGGTGAAATGAGTTTGGAGCAAGACAGTTGTGAATTTTCAGCTTCCTAAAGCAACCCATACTGACTGTGTACCTCTGCAAGCATCCCAACCCCTCTGATCCTCTTGTCCTCATCTGTAAAAGGATGTTATTATATATGACATTATGGTGTGAAGTTCCTAAGTACCAATATGGCACATAAAATGTGCTCAGAAACCCCTTCTACAGGTGTTTTCTCACCTTTTCTTCTACTCTAATTCTCCTTAAAAGATTTAAATCATGTGGCACCCAAGTTGTGAATATATCTAGCTCCCTCCTGGTCCTCTTCCAGCTGGTTCCACACTACTCATTTTGGTTGCAGTGACCAAGTTCTGCTGTGCGCTGCCCGGGCTCCACGGCCCCCAGTGTTTACCCTCACCCCTTCCTAAAAGCCTGGCATGTCTGCCTGAGGGTGGCCTGCAGCTCCTTGTCCAGACTGACATTCAATTCTGTGGGTAGAGTCAAAATTAAGGCCACCATTATCTTAGCAGGTCCCAGCTCTTGGATTACACACTCCACAATAGCCCACTCTATCCTCATGAAACCCCAGGTGGAGCTGTCCTTTGTCTGGGGTCGATGCAGGGCTGAAGGTGAGCCCAGGCCCGGGAGCACCTTCTCCTGGAGGTCCTGGAAAGCACACGAGACTATCTCAGTTCTCTCTCTCTCTCTCTCTCTCTCTCTCTCTCTCTCTCTGTCTCTCTCTCTCTCTCTTTCTCTTTCTCTCTCTCCTTCCCTCTGTCCCACCTTAAGATTGAAGGTCAGGAAGCTGTTTCCCAGGTAACAATCCAATCTAATGTCATATGCACAATAGAAGGTGTAGAAGGAGTCTCAGTTGCCAAATGTATTAGTGTCCTAAAGCTTTCACAATAAATTACCACAAATGGGGTGGCTTTAAACAACATAATTTTATTTTGTCACAATTCTGGAGACTAGAAGTCTGAAATCAACATGTTAGCAGGGTTAGTTCTTACCGGAGCCTCTGAGGAAGGTTCTTCCATACCTCTCTCCCAGCTTCTAGCTGCTGCCGACATTCCTTGGCATCCTTTGCCCTATAGGTGTACCACCCTAACCTCTGACATTCTCCCTGTGTGTCTTTGTATCTCTCTGTCCACATTTCTCTCTTCTTATAAGAACACCAGTCAGTGGATTAGGGCCCACCCTAGTCCAGTGTGGCCTCATTTTATCTTTATTATATCTATAAAGATCCTATTTCTACATAAGGTCACACAGGCGTAGGTCCTGGTAGTTAGGATTTACACATGTCCTTTTGGGGGACACAATTTAACCCACAAGATCAAGGAATGAGAATTCCTAACCAAGGACACTGCCCTGTTTCATTTTTCTTTCTTTGGTTTCTGGGCATCCTTGCCCAGTTTGTGTTTTTATTATTGGGTTATAGGACTTGTTTCTGTATCCTACATATCCTTTGATAGATGAATGTTTTGTGAATATATTTTCCCAGCCATGGTTTGCCTATTTGTTTTCTTAATATTTAAGAAAATAAGTTAATATTTAATTTGATAAAATAAAATTATATTTAAAAAATTTTAATGGTTATTTTATTTCTCTGATCTAAGAAACTTTTGCCTGATCCCAAGTTAAAAAGGACATCTGTTCATTTTCAACCTAGATTATTTTTAGCCCTTATGAAGTAAAACTTTAAGAGCAGGTGGAGATAGAGAGATAGAGGATAAGAGAAAGAGAGAAGAGAAAAGAGAGACAAAACAACAGAATGCAAATAGAAAACAATATGACAAAAAAAGAATAACGATTCTTATGATCCTTTGTACTTCTGCACAACTGGTCAATGCAGTTCCAATGGAAATCTCACCAAGTTTTTGTGGAAATGGAGAAGATAATTCTAAAATTTATAGGGAAATCTTGAATCTAGAAGAACAAAGCTAGAAGGCATACTGTGCTAGATATTAGTTCCTACTATAAATGTATAGTAATGAGGATAGTGTAGTATTTGGCACAAGCATTATCAAGTAGATCAGTGGAATAGAAAGCCTAGAAAAAGTCCCACACTTATATAGTTACCCAATTTACAAAAATGTACTACTCTAATTCAATGGAGTAAAAATGGTCTTTCTAAAAAGTAGTACTATATCAAGTTGATATCTAGCAGGGATACAATACCTTCCCAACAAAGCTATTAGGAAAAAAAAGAAGCAAATACCTTCATGATTTTGGAATAGGTGAAGATTCCTTAAACAGGACACAAAAATTTCTAACCTTGAAAGAAAATATGAATAAATGAGACTTTCTTAAAAATTAAAAACTTTAGCTTATCAAAAGTCAACATTAGGAGCAAGTCAAAAACTGGGAAAAATATTTGTGATATATATAGACAAAAAGGACTTATATCCAAAATGTAAAAATAACTTACAACACAATAAGAAAAATACTGGCTACTTAAACAAAATGCAAAAAACATGAAAAGGTACTGTATGAAAAAAGATATCCAAGTAGCCAATAAACATATGAAAAAGTGTTCAACATTATTACATGTTGGGAAACACAGATTAAAACCATGGGGATGTAACATTTTACACACATAAGAATGATCAAGACTAAAAGAACCAAGAATATCAAGGATGTGGAGTACGTAGAACTGATACACATTCCTGGTGGAGTGTAAATTCATATGCTCCCTTAAGAAAACTGGCAGTATTTACTAAAACTAAATGCATGCTTTCCCCATCACCTACCAGTTCTACTGAACAGAGAGTTAAGAGAAATTAGTGCACCATGTATACCAAAAGACAAGAACAGAAATGTTCATTAGTTCTTTTCTTAATGACCAAAAATTGGAAGCCACCCAAGTGCCCATTAACAATAGAATGGATAAACTGAGGAATGGGAACATAAGGGAACCCTACATAGCAATGAAAAAGAAATAACTATTGCTACATGTACCAACATGAATGAATCTCACAGATTTAATTTTGAGTTTAAAAAAACCCAACAAGATATAAAACAGTATATACAGAATAAATCTCTCTATATGAAGTTCATAAACAGGCAAAATTAAAATATAGTAATCAAGGTCAGAATAGTATTACCTAGGATTAGTACTAGGAGTAGTTATAAAGGTGCTTCTCAGGTGCTAGAAATGTTCTCTATCTTGATCTAGAAGGTCGATACATGGGTATGTATGTGTACGAGATTCATTATCTGTTCACTTGAGATTTATGTTCTCCACATAGTTTATTGTATCATTAAAAAGAAAGAGAGAAAGCTACAAAATAGATTCATCCTCTAAATACCTGAGACTTGCTGAAGAGCTATGGGATTAGGCTGGGGTGATGTCATTAGAGGAGCTCCCTCCCCAAAGAGAAAGAAAGGCTCAATAGAGCCTTACATATTTATACTTTAGCAAGTTAACACCACTCTAGCAAAAGTATTATAGCTTAATTGAATTAGATAATTAATATAAGTACAAAATGTAGAGTCTGGTTCACAGTAAATATTAAAATACATTATTAGTACTACTACTACTACTACTTTTATTATTTTGTTGTTTGTAGTAGTCATGTTTAATGACTGAGACTGAAACAGAAACTCTCATTGCACCATTGTTGGGTTCTTCCCACTTCTCACTTCCACATCCCATGGTTTAATCCATGTTCCTCATTCTCTCCAATTGTCCACAATGGAAAGACTCAATAGTGGGTCATTGATAGAATTTATCTTCCCAAAGCACACTGTGGGCTTGTTGGCTGCAGTAAAGAGAATGTTCCCTCAGAGAGGGAATTCACAGACTGCCAAAAAAGGGGAGGAACAGGGAATATCATTCCACATGCCATTTGTCAGTAACACTACACAGTCTTCTCCAGAGCCAACGTTGTTGGGTTCACCATTGTTCCAGTTGGTGTAGGTCACTCTACTTCCTGTCAGATCCACAAACTGGCCTTCTGTCTCCTCATCTGTGATGCCCAGGAGGGCTGCTTCCCCAATTAGATTCTGGATGGCCGTGTTCTCTTCGGCATTCCTGGGGATGGCCATAGAGCCCTGGAACTGGGCACATAGAGCCTTCACTCTGTCAAAGGTCATCTTTTCACCATTGGTCAAGAAGATCTTCTGCCCAACTCGTTTGCCCAGAGAGAAGGTCAGCCCTAAAATGTGAAAAAGTCGGTGACCCTGGATTATCTTTAGCCCAGCTCAAGGTATTTCTCAAGATAAAGGCTTCTAGAGTAGAGTTGCTAGGTAAAATATAGTATATCCTGTTAAATTTAAATTTCAGATAAAGAATGATTTTTTTTAGTATAAGTATCTTCCATATAATTTGGAGGGCATATTTATATTAAGAAATTGCTTTTTACCTGAAATTCAAATTTAACTGGTGTCCTGTCTTATTATTTGTCAATTACGGCAACCCAAATGTGAAGAGACAAACTGGCACAAAGGCCTTTGTCCTTTTGGATCAGAATTGTAGGACACATATAATTTGGAATTCTGAATTACACTCTACTATTAACTTGAGACTAAATGAAAATGTCTGAGAATATTTTTCCCAGGCCAGAAGGAACAAGGTAGGCTCCATGGCCAGTTCTTAACACCAGCGTAACAAAGGGGCATAGTTACTGTTTTCAGTGAGCAAATATTAGAGGGATCAGGGTCTCTGGAGTCAGACTGACTTCAGTTTATAAACTGCCTCTGCAACTTGTTAGCTCTGTGCATTTGAGTAAGTAATTTAACCTCTGTCTCCATTTCCACCAAAATGGTGTTGTGAGGATTTCATGAGATTGGAATATGAGCAATGCATTCAGTAAATATTTGTTGCCTTCTACCTTTCCCAAACTTCAAGCTGCCCGGAGAGTAAGAGAGAAAGCTTACACTTGTTGATACGATCCAATTCTAATCGCAGAGCTTCTATTTCTGAAGCAGCCAGTCTACAATCACAATCTAGACAATTAAAACAGAGTGAAGGAGCACTGTTGAAAAGTGGGTCCCATAACTGTACACAGAAGGCAGTGGGGTATCTTTTTCAAACTGAAAAAAAAAAGTACTTTCTTCGACATTGATATTTATACTTTGAAGGAAAATAAAAAATACCGAGAAGCAAAATGAAGGAAAAAAAATTTCTATTTCTGCCCAGCCCTGAACCTCGCTGTATCTATTTACTGTATCCAAAGACACTTTATGCAACAGATATATCACATGCACACACTATACTTCCGGATTACCTAGCAATCCATAGGCCAAGTTCTTTATTAATTTTTTCCCCCAAATGTATTGTTCTATCAAGGCAAAGAGAAAATCTCTTGAGGCATTTTGAGCTGGTAAATACTGACTAAAAAGATTGCAGGGTTTTACCTTTCGGGAGGGTTTCTTTTCCTTGCTTTATTTTCCCCCTGAGTTTGTTCTGTTAGTCAGGAAACCACGATTTGTGAGAGTTGCCCATTATCCCAGTGGGGAGGGCATGAGGCAGCCACATGTAGCAGATGGCCAAGATGGCCTCAATGCAGTACAGCTTCTCTCTGAAGAAACTGAGTCCATTTCCCTACTTGTTGAATCTGGGCTGGCCTTGTGGCTTGTTTTAACCAATACAAGGTGGCAGAAATGATAATGTATGTGTTCTGAGCCTTCAGGAGGCTTGAAACTTCTATTCTTTCTACTCTTGAGAATCCTGTCGTCACTACTATGTGAACAAGCCGTGGCCAGCCTGTTGGATGATGAGAGATGCATGGCTCAAGAGCCTTTGTCACTCCAGCTAACATTCAAACAACAGCCAAACATGTGAGCGAGACCACTGGCCATCAGTTGATCATAGACACGTTAGTGAGCCCAGCTGAAACCAGCAGAGAAATCACTTGTCTGATCCACAGCATTGTGACTTAAATAAATGCCTATGTTCTTAAGCTACTAAGTTTGCGTTGGTTTCTTATGAAGTAAAATATAACTGACATACCATGGCTATAAGTTTTGGGGAAAAGCAATGTAAGAAGCCCACTTTGAGATGTCCTCCACCCTCTCTCTGGGACCAGAACCTCACATTGGATGGTTCAGCTGAAGGAGAACCCAGGCTTGACTCCTCCAGCGGGTGCCTGATGCGGGAGTTGTCCCATTAGGCTTGTCAATCTACACTCAGGCACTGACAGAAATTCCCAGAGGCTCTAATAATAAAGACAGGGCCAAGGGCAACGAGTCACGAAACAAATTTGGGCATCTTCCTGTGATGGGAAGATGCCAAATTTGGGCACCTCCTACAAGGTACTCAAGGTCTCAGAATGCTGGGTGCTCTCAGCTCAGACCTTGCTGGGGTGAGCTCCTTACCTGGGTTTTTTCCAGGGTCTCCTTTTTGGCCCTTTGCTCCTGGTAACCCAGGGGCCCCGGAGTTTCCTGCAGGCCCGGCTTTTCCAGGAGGGCCCTGCAAGCCTCTGAGCCCTTGGCCTGTTGGGAGACAAAGGAAACTTGCCTCAGTGTCTGTGCTCTTCCTCTCTTTCTCCCCAGTTAAACACCCAATCTCGTCCCAGGAGAGTGAGGAAACCTTGACCTGGGCTGACCTATCTGAGCCACTGCTCCCTATAACCCAGAGAAGAAAAATTCCTCCTGTGTCCCATGGGATGTCCTGGCCTGTGGGCCACTTTTCCTGGACAGGCGAGACAACCATTTGTCACAAAGTACGGTGTGGAATTCTGAGATTCCAGAGAATCAGAGCTGTATCTCTATTTTGAGTTACAACATGTAGTGGAGAAAAGTACAATCTAGCTGCATAGCACATTACTCTCCTCATATCTCCTGGCAGTTTCCTCTGGAAAGTAAAGCATGGCAGAGACAGAGCAACACAACCTGTACCTGGTTCTCCCTTTTCTCCCTTGAAGCCATCACGCCCATCTTTGCCCGGGAAGCCGTTGATGCCTGGGGTACCACAAGCAATCACAGGGCAGGTCTTTTGGATGTCCTCAGAGGTTACAGCTTCTGAGTAACATGCTGCCATCACACTCAGGAGAAGGAGAGGGAGGGATAGAAACAGGGACATTGTCCTCACCTTGGTGTGGGGAAAGTTGAAGGAGATTATCTCAGCTTGTTCAGTTAATCAATACATATTTACCAAACATGCCCTCTGTCCTACAACCTGGGCACAAGGCACACACAGGCTCTGTAGAAATAAATAACCCACGTCTGGCCTCCAGACTGGGGATTCAGAAAAGTAAATATTCATTGTGACATTGTGTGATTAGTATTTTAACAAAGGTAGGCACAAGAACATGCAGTGGGGGCCCTAGGGAGGAGGTCACCTGTCCCCTGGCCTCTGGGGTTGCTGCTGCATGGCTGTGGATGTGCTTCCCTTGGCAGTGAGAACAACTGGAGCTACACATGGCCAGCTCACTCATGCTGTTGGGGGAAGGGGAATCAGTGGAGACCCAGGTGTGAGTAGGATCTCCCTCTTTCCCCCACTTCTCCTTTGAGCCCATCAGCTTTCTGAATCCCGTCTTTTATCTTGGCAGATGATTTCCCTCTAGGGCTAGTTAACTATCATTTACTCAGTGGCACCACCTGCAGGTTGGTGATTCAGAGAAGGTCCTGACTTTAGATCAAGCATCTACTAGTCACTAACATGGCTCAGAATTAACCTGAGTCTGCTTCCTCTTGGCATTTTATTTCCCAGGGTGAGCATTTGCTCTGGAAATTTCTCACTACCTTGGCCCTGGCAGGGTGCTACATTCCTCTTGGCTTCCTGGCAGGAATTCCCTGTGTTTTCTGAGTTCAAACCGCAGGCTATTAGACAATCTGCCTTGAATCCCCCACCCATTTCTCAATCTTAACATATCATCTGCCCTTCCAAGCTTTCTTCCAGCTGTTGCTGCCTAAGAAAGCTGAGGAGCCTGGCCCCATGGGTCTAATCCTCCAAGGATCCCTTTGAAAACAAAGGCAGACTCCTTTGCAAAGGGTCAGGTAATTGAGGAAGGCCACAGGTGCCCCAGCACAGGCAGAGAAAAGAACACCCTCAACCTGATTTCTGCCTGCCATCTCCCTCCCTCCCCCCAGCCCACCCCAGAAAGCCTCCTCCAGGCCCCAGAGGCAAGTCAAGTCCTGAGACTCTTGGTCCAGGAACCCACATTCATTCACTAGAAATGACTTACTGGGGCTTCTGCAGAGCAGCGATTCGGTGGTGGCAAGGAAGCTGGCTCTCTAGCCTGGGACTCTGGCAGATGCCTGCGAGTGAGGGAGGAGGCTGGGCTCAGTTATATAGGGCCCGGTCAAGTTTGTCAACAGGGATAGCCCTGGTTGAAGGGCCTGGCCTTCAACCCCAGATTAATAAACAACACTTAGGACTGCATGAAATTCTTCTTAGCAGCTTCCAGCACAGTGGTAGGCAGCTGTCTGCTTTAACACAGCACAGTTCCACCTGCAATTGCCATCCATTTGGCAATTCTCATTGCTGAGCTACCATAAGTAGGTTCACCTGGTTAATCATGTCAAGATCCTTATTTCCAACAGAAAAACATAGATACCCATGAATGCACACACATTTTCATGCACACCAACTATACACGCAGACACGCACATGTGCACACGCACTCGTCCAGGAAGGCATAGCTGGCCTCTAGCTGCCGTTAATACACCAAGACCTGCCTTAGGCTTTGCATTTTGTGTCTCCCTACTTGGACAGTCTCTTCAGTGCATGGCTGGTTGGCTCTTTTCCTTCCATTCAAATATTCCTGTCTCAGAGAAACCTGCCTCGATTGCTTTATCTAAAATAGTTCCACCGAGTCAGTCTTTATCATATTAACTTGCATTATTTTCTTTTCTATTACTTACATTATATGATATTATAGCCATTTACTTCAATTTTCTATTTTTTATTGGGGCAAAATAAACATAATATAAAATTGATCATTTTGATCATTATTATTAAGTGCACAACTCAGTGGCATTAGGTACATTTGCATGGTTGTAAAACCTTTGCCACCATCCATCTCCAGAAATTTTTCATCCTTCCAAATGGAAACACTCTACCCATTAAACAGTAATTCCCTATTTTCTCCACCCCCAACCACTGGTGACTAGTATTCTGCTTTCTGTCTCTATGAATTTAACTATTTTAGGTGCCTCATATATGTGGAATTATACAACAGCTGTCCTTTTGTATCCGGTTTATTTCATTTGGCACAATGTCTTCAAGTTTCATCCACATTGCAGCATGTGTCATTATTTCATTTCTTTTTAAGACTGAACAATATTCCACTGTATGTACCTATATACCACATTTTGTTGTTTTTGTTTGTTTTGTTTTTTGAAAAGCAGGTACTCCAGTTTTATTCTTCAGGAATTAAAAATCTAGATCTTACTTTCTGACCCTTTACCAGTAGCAGTGACTTGGAGGTTGTGGGGACGGGCAGAACTGCATATATATAGCTGGGGATCAGCAGAGAACATGAGACCATTGACTCATTCTTTTGTTTATTTACTCATTTATGGACATATTCAACAAGCATTCATTGAGTTAAGTGGTGGGGATAGTAATGAACCTCTCCTCTTAGTAAGCTTATATATTCCACATTTTGGAAGATTCATTTTTTTTTTTTTATAAATCAGGTGCCTTCATATTTTATTTCCAACAGAATTAAAGGAGTACATAATTTAATAATTAACATATAGATCATTAAGTATAATTCTATTGATAAGCCACTTTGTATTTTTTCTGTCATATAACTCAGAATAAATTCAAATAATTGAATAACACTGCATCATAAGACACCTGCACTCGAATGTTTATAGCAGCACAATTCATAATCGCAAGGCTGTGGAAACAGCCCAAGCGCCCATCAATCCAAGAATGGATTAATAAAATGTGGTATATGTATACCATGGAGTACTATTCAGCTCTAAGAAACAATGGTGATATAGCACATCTTATATTTTCCTGGTTAGAGCTGGAACCCAAACTACTAAGTGAAGTATCCCAAGAATGGAAAAACAAGCACCAGATATATTCTCCAGCAAACTGGTATTAACTGAGTAGCACCTAAGTGGACACATAGGTACTACAGTAATAGGGTATTGGGCAGGTGGGAGGGGGG